CCTACTTCACAGGGATAATGTGAAGAACAGAGGAAGGATATGGAAAAACACGTACATCAGCTTGAGAACTGGAGAAAAAAAAAAGACCTCAAACTGTAATTCACTGAAGAACAAATAATAGTAAAAAAAGTGAGCAGGGAGGGGAAAAAAACAGCCCCAGTTCTCTTTCTGTTCTAGACATTTAAATCAGATTGTTTTAAGTTTCTCTCTTACATACACACAGAAAAGATCCCACTCTCCCACAGATGTACAGGCGTCCCCGAAACCTCCCCTCCCGATTCAGACGAGAGGCGCTCGGTTCTCAAAATAAAAATTTATTCGGTAACAAGAACATTGAATCAGCACCCATCGAGGGCAATGAGTTCACATTTAAAAACAGCCGAGTATCAAGTCGGTCAGAGTCTATGGTACAAGCCACTGCTGGGAGGGGGGGGACAAACTGCTATTATATGAGAGGCAGCATTCTTTGGCGTGAGGAAGAAAGTCACGGGGGGGGGTTGGAGGGGGGGGAAGAGGATATGTCAGAAAAAGGCAGAATGAGCAAAACATTAATAAACCGGAGGGAGACTCTCTGGCCCCCTCCTTCCAGATTTTGCACCTTCCAGGTTTGCCCGAATAATCTCCCCCCTCCCGCCCTCTTGGGAGGCAAACTGGGGCAGACGGGGGGGGGACGGTGGCTGGGAGGGTTGCCCGCAAGGCTGGCATTCCCGCCGCCCCCCCAAATCTTGTTTCCAGGGTGAGATCCAGGAGCAGGCTAGGCGAGAGAGAAGGACCCAACGAAAAGGGAACACATTTGTGCCTTTGCCAGTCACTTTGAATGCCCAGGAGTGAGGAGTCCAAAAAACCCCTCGGCCTGTTCCAGTTGACCGATGTTGGAGAGCCTTCGGCGATTCCCTGACACTGGTATACCAAGGCCTCTGGGAGGACTGGCCAGGTGGCCGGATGGGCAGGGAAGTGCCGGGCAGTCTCTGAAAGGAGATGGAGGGGAGTGGGGGAGGCCGTTGACCCCAGGGGCGAAAACCCGGGACGGCTGGGTAGCCGGAGGCCCCGTTTGGGTTCCCAACTGTTTTTATGCCTCTCGGGCTCGAAACAAGCCAGTCCACACGACGCCACTCAGAGCATCGGTGGTGTTCGCGAAGGTACGCCAAAGCCGGAGGGAGCAATCTCAAACCTGAATTAATGGAAACGGGGGGGAGAGGAAAACACCATCCTGTTTTAGGTGGTTCTCATGGAGTAGGTACCAGCCCCCCGTCTTTCCGATATAAAGCGCCCCCCCGTTTGCGGTTCCCCCAGAACCCTTGACGCCAAAGGCAGCGCGGGGGGGGGGAGTGCTGAGATTTGACAACCATAGTTATAAAAGTACAGCCAGGAACCAAAGATGGAGGGGTGTGTGTGTGTGTGTGTGAGGGGTCACAGGGCACACCAAACATTTTGCACGCCGGTCACCTTAGCTTTTCATATCCGCAATGTGAAACTGAAAAGGAAAAAACAACAACAACACACACACATATTCTCCCTTTGGAATAACATACGCCAGTCCTTTTTGTACATGGAAGGGGGGGCAGGGAATACGGGGGGGGGAGAGAAGAAAATGGAACCAAAATGCCCTTTAAAACATATGAAACAATGCTTTCTTAACCAGTGGTAAACTTTTCATAAATAGAAACCTGTCTGCGGACAGAAGCAGAAAAGGCAAGACAACACCAAGCACCAAACATCTTGTCTGTGGGGCCCGAGGGGTTCAACCCGTCCCGTTTTGATCTCCGAAGCTCAAAGATGTTGGGGTGTGTGTGTGTGTGTGGAGGGGCGGGAAATACCTGGGGAGGGAAGGATCCGTCTGCAGAGATCAGGCAGAGAGCCCGAACCGGACTCCCTACAGCCACGAAATGAGATTGAAGGCGCCCGTCTCCCAAGTCTTTCTTGGGCCACTCAAAACCTGCAGCGTGGAAACCGGGGAGCTCCGGCGGCCGGATCCGGCCCCTCGCCCTCGAAAGAAGCACAAGCAATGGAGGGGAGGAAAGAAGAGGAGAGCTGCAGGAATTTCTCTGCCAAGTCCAGAAACAACCGGACATTCTGAGGCTTCATTGTAATCTTTTCTGTTTTGTTTCGTTGCACGGATTCCCAAAGGAGAAAGCCACTTTTTTTGGGGGGGGGGGTCCTAAACCATGAGTTTCTCTCTCCCCCCCTCGTGCCACCCTTTGGACAGAAATGAAGAGCCCTAAGTCAGAGGCACTCCTATGTTCAACAGGGTTGACACTGGGAGGAAAAGATGCTTCCTTTAGATGCCATCGTCCCACCCGGAGAACAAAGCTCAAAAATCCAGTTTTAATGACACAGAAAGCAGCCAACGGCAATTAAAATAAAAGGGACACCCTTCAAGCATACAAAGGCTTCCCAGGTTTCGCCCCCATCTTCCTGGTTGGGCGGAAATCTGTCAGTGCTGTTTAAAAGGGTCCATCTGGACCCAGGCATGACCCATCTTATTAGGATGGAATACCACAAGAAAAATCTCAGTGAGCCACTGGGATCTTTGACAACATAGGGAGGATGATGACAATCAACAAAGGGATCAGGTTCTCCACCTTATCACTTGCCACTAGCCAGCTAGTCCGGTTCCCCCCCCTCCCCAAATAACTGTGTTTTGTGCCAATGGAGGGGTTTCAAAACAGACAAAACCTCACTTCCTTTCCATGGGACAGATTTTTCTATGGGACCCTAACCCTCACGGCTCCTGATTCGAGACTTAGGTGCAGCCTGTGGGTCCTGTTGGCTTACAGCTCCCATCATCCCCTTATCTGGGATTAGGCGGGCTGCCCTCCCTACTGAGTCTAGGCAGCTGCAATTTGCCACTCCTGACTTCCAGAATCAGGCTGGCTGGGATAGGCGGAGGGGGGGGGGCGGCCTTTTTGGGCCGATCCCTGTAACGCCTGTCTTTATCATGATGGATGGGAAAGGTCAGCAAAGCTCCCCTTGAGAAATCAGCTTCACGACATTGTCCTGTAAAAACGGCCGAGGGACGGAAGAGAAAAGGCCGCTGACCTTTGTCCTCGGTAGGAAGTGGGCTTTTAAAAGATCTGTTTGGATCAGAAAAGGGACCAGCATCTCAGGAAGGAGGGGGTTTAAAAAAACGGAGATGCCACAGGAAACGTCACCGGGGGGGGGGGGAGACAAGCTGAGGAAACCCTGATCTCCAGAAAGAGAGCGTGGCGCTCGGGCACACCGAGGGACCGGCAGAATAATGCAGAAGGGATGGCGGCCCAACCTTACACGCTGTAAACCACGTAAGACGAAAGAGAGGGACCCCAAGAGAGAGGGACAGTGCAACGCACGGGGGTCCGTTTGGCACAAGCTGGCGAGAGACAAAGCTTAAAACAAACAAATAAACGATCAAACAGGGCAGACAGACCTCGGGAGAGGAGGAAGGGGAAGAGAATCGGGGCCCAAGATGGCTCTCGCTGCCCCTCAGGATGAGGCCCACCCGAGAGGACTCTGTTTTCCAGTTGCTCAAAAGAGGGGCCAGCTTTCCAACAGTGGTTTTTTTTGGGGGGAGGGCTTTCCAGGGGTGGGAAAGAAGTGATAAAGACTGGAAATCCTACCACCTGAAGTGTGTGTATGTGTGTGTGTGTGTGTTTTGCGGGGATGACAAGGAAGGAGAAAATCCCACAGGGCAGAGGGGAGAAAGGGGGACCGAAAAAGGGCACATACGTGGTTCAGACAAGAAAAACTTTAAAACAAAACAGATATGGCCGTATTCTTGAAAAGGCCTATCATTTTATTCAAGTAATGAAAAGGTTAAACCCCTTTTATATTTAAAATTAAAAAATGGGGGGGTGAGAGAAAAGGAAGTTTGTTTTAAGAGAACAGGGTCCCCTCCAAAAATCCTGCTCCTTCCTGCTTTTTGAGTTCTGCCTCCAAACTCTCAGGTTTCAACTACCCTTTTGCTCTTAATGCTACCCCAAGTCAAAAAGTCTTCAGTTTGGAGGGCCCTGTAGAAAAGAACACCACATGGACACCAAAAAGCCACAAGTCATCCATCTGGGACTGAATTTCGCAGGGCATGGAAGGCCAGTGCACAGCCCAGAGAGAGGCGGGGGCTCTACCTGTGTGTGTGTGTGTGCTCTCTTACGTCTGGCCGAGCTGCTGAATTGCCGGGAGGTTGAAGGGCCAACGCTTTTAGACGAGCCGGGCTCCCACCTCGCAAATCCCGGCGTAAGGCACCACTTCTGGGAGGCATTTCAAGAAGCTGATTTCGTGGTACGGGGTGGGAACAGGGAAAATTTGGCACCGCGGTTGTAAATGTGGTTTTCCACCCCACCCCCAGGTGGGGCACAATGGGGGTCTGGGATTCGGGGACCCCGGCCCAGAGCCAGTGGAACCAGATTGGGGGTGGGCGGGTGTAGGTGGAATCAGCCAAACAGCATGTCATAATCTGTCCATCTTCTTTCTGGATCAGCACCAGGGAGACCTTCCAAACTGAAAAGATGGACAGATCTAAAGGGGCAGCAGCCGGAGACCGAAACTGCCAACGGGCCAGCTCAGAACAGAGCTGAAACCCAAAGCCCAGCTCTACTCAGGTGTAAGCTTGCCACTCTTCACAGGAAAGAACAACGGTGAGCAGGTGAAAAATGGATTTTTTTTCTTTAAAAGGAGGGGTGTTCTTTTAAGACAAAGCCCCCCCAAAACACCATTGAGGGTTTATAGACTTTTTTTAAAAAAAAGAGACAATAACCACACACAAAAATGAATCTCGCAGTCACTTGTGCGGGGAAATGGGAGCAGGAGGCGACGACCATGGAAGCAGGCACCGCGAAACCAGATGCAACAGGGACAGTAAAAATAACCAACATATAAAAAACCCCTAACTAATAAAGTGCATATCTCCATATATATATATTACATCTTCCCAAAGGAGGAACATTAACAAGGGTGGTTGCAGGACAAGTCAAATGGGGGGAGGAAGGGATGGGGGGGGGAGAAGAGTGGGAAAAGAAGGCCGAAGTTCACATGGTGTTGTACAGCGGATTCGTGGTTCGTTTCCTGTCATTGGTTTTTCTCAGTCTTCTGGGCGGTCGAGTTCTACTGTGTTGATACCGAGGGAGCAGAGCTAGCCACTGGGGCCCGTCGGGCGCCGCTGACCTGGGCAGCCCGGCCGCTTGAGCGCTAGTCAATGTCGCTTCCAGAAGCTGCCGGGCCGAGTTGAAATCTCGGGCGTACTGCGCCGGCGGCCTCTCTACGGGTCGGCTCAGAGCGATGCACTCGGTGAGTTTCAGCTGCTCCACTAAATGCGCCGTCGGCTGGGGCACCCGAAGAAGCGGCGAGGAGATGGTGGGATCCAGTGCCAGGGTGGGGGGAGCGGGCGGGCCCCGGGCGCCAGGCTCCCCGGGGGCGAAAAGGGTACGCAGCGATTCCAGAGATGCCAGGCCCCGGGCGCCAGGCTCCCTGGGGGCGAAAAGGGTACGCAGTGATTCCAGAGATGCTGGCTCAGTGCCGGGAGCGGCGGCCGCTTGCCTCCCGGACAAGTCCTCTTTCGAGAGGTCCAGGCAGTCCAGCTTGGCTAAGGAGGCCGAGCGTTTCATCAGGGAAGGGGTGGTGAGGCCTGCTTGCCGGATCCGGGCATCGAACTCCTGGGCGCGGCGCTTCACTACGCTGGAGGCTCCGCTCGAGCCTCGGAGGCTGTCGCTGCTGGAGCTGTGGAGAAGGCCGCGGGACAGGGACGACGGGGCGGGGGTCTCCGGGGGCCGCTCAGCCCCCGTTCCTCCTAACGTCTCAGGCACATCCAAGTCCTCTCGGTTCCAGTGTGTCAAGGTGCCCTCGCTCCGCCGGCGCAGGAGACCTCCCCTCTCCTCAAAGGCAAACCGTCCGTTTCCGGCATAACCGCCCCCCAGGAGGGCCGGCTCAGGGTCTGAGCTGCTGCTGCTCTGAGTGACCCCCTCCAGGCGGAAGAGGAGCTGGCCATCCGAGCCAGGCGGAGGCGATGGCCTCGCTCGTCCAGCAGAGCCGGAAGCGCCGGGATGGGCCGAGGTCCCTGCGATGGTCGCCTTCTCTTCCTCGTCGGGGCTGCCTAAGGAGAAGATTGATTGGCTCGAGCGTCTGCTGTCCGGCGGCCCGGAAGGGCTCTCGGAGCGCCCGGTGGCGTTGCAGTTTTCATCCACTGCCACCGCCAGGGTATCCTCGAACCCTTCGGGGGCGCCGCCCGCACCAGAGAGCGCCGGCGACCGGACCGTGTGGGTGTACTCAATGATCTCAATCCGTTTTGGGAGGAGGAGGTGGGGGCGGTGGCCGGGCCGAGGAATCTTCTCTCGGTTTTCCGCCGACATGGCCGTCCGGTGTTCGTCGGCCGATCCCGTGAGATCCACCGAGGGGCTGTCGTCACCCGAGGGGGAGGAAGGCTTTTTGGCGAGTGGGTCGGGACCATTCCCCGTCTCGGTGCTCCCAGCTCTTGAGGGCTCCTTTTCCGTCGAGACCCGAACGAGCTCATGAGACGGGTCTTCAGTCCTGCCCTTGGCAGGCAGTTCCGGGGACGAGGGTTCATGCCTGGAGTTTTTGCGGAGGGGAAGGGTGGCGATGGGGGACGCGTGGGGGGCCTCCTGCTCTTGTCTCAGGCGCTCCTCGAACTCCAGGGTGGCCCGACGCACGGAGCCCGGGCACCATTTCGGCCGAGGGTTCCCAGGGCTTTCTGCCAGGTCTTCCGGCAGCTCCCCGGCTTCATCAGCCTCCGTCGGCTCCTGGAGGATCACAGCGACGTCTGGGTCCGGTTTCAAAGGCTCCTTGGGGTTCTCCTTCAGGACAGAGCGGCCTCCCTCATTAGGCTCGGTTTTCCCAAGCTTGTTTTCCCAGGTCCAGACTGACTCCGCAGGCAGCTCGTGGACGGTGTTTCTCTTGGGCGCCAGAATGGGGTTGTTCAAGGCGTCCGTCCTCACCGGCCCCTGCCCGGCCCCTTGGTGGATCGACTCTATTTCTGTGACAATCTCTTTCACCGAGACGGCGTTTTCCGAGTGGGAGCGGGTCAGGCCGCCCGAACGATCCGGTTCTGAGAGCTATGGATTGGGGTGGGGGGAAGAGGAAATGGAGAGAAAGTCATAAAGGCGTTCAGTGAAGTCTCTGCTTCAAGTTATGTTATAAATATTACATTTCCCAGTTCAGGAGGTCAAACGGGGGTGGGGGCCAGAATATCCTGCGGCGAGTGCGATTTTACCTTGGGAGGACTGCCAAGAGAAGGCCAGGGGAAAGGGAAAGAGTGAAGGGCGAGGATTCACTTTCAAAAGCGAGGGACTTCCAGACCGAGGCCCCGGAGGACAATCATCGCGGCTGGCCAAAGGTTAAAAGCGGTTCTGTCCGCCGCAACCAGGGGTCAGACTCGGGATGAGGCGGCCTCCGAGTTCCTCCTGCCGCAGGCACCCCTTCACACACGCCGGCCTTCTCTAGGCATAGGGGTTTTTTGGATTTTTTGCACAACAGAACCCGGAAATTCACAGGAATCCCCCCCCCCAGCTAGACTCCCGGGGGCTTCAGCAAAAAGGAAAAGAAAAGTTGAAAAATAACAGCTATTCTTGATCACAAAGAAAGTGGCTGGGCAGGGCTAATCTCTCTGAGAACTTCCAAGGCATTCTGGGTCTAGGAGTTTCCTGAGAGACACACTCTATATGGAGTCTAAGGGGCTGCAAGACTACCAGTCCTGTAATGCCTTGCAGTTCCCAGAGAATTCAGCCTTGTCCAGCCACTTCTTCATGCCTGAGAGAAGCCATTATTTCTCAGCTGAAAGTGATTCCAGGCCCTTGAAAGGACTGGGTGTTTGTGTGTGTGTGTGTGTGGGGGGGTTGGCTAAAGCCCCCAGAAGACTGGCCAGGGGAATTCCGGCAGACTTTGGGGGGGCGGCCATCCCTGAATTCTGAAATGGCAAGATGGTGCCACCCTCCTCCTCCTCTCTCTCTCTCTCCTCCACTTTCCATACCTTGAGCTGCTCCTCCTCCAAGGAGGATTCCTCCGACGCCAGTGGGGAGTTGCGCGCCGAGCTGTTCCGTGGCGCGTCTTCGGTGGACGGCGGGTCCGAGGGGGAGAGCTCCAGCACGGTGCCTTTGGAGAGGCTGTTCCGGCTCCCGCTGCTGCTGCCGCTGCTGCCGCCACCCCCCTGTTCCTCCGCCCTCGAGTGGGAGCAGGCCCGTGGCCGGCTGTCCTGCGAGAGCTCCACAAACATCTCTAAGGCGCTGAAGAAGTCGATGCGGTCGGCCCCAAAGTCAGCCTCCTCGGGCCGGGGGGCGGAAGGTGGCGGGCTGGGCGAGGGGCGGCCGGAGGCATCCCGCAGGCAAGACTCCAGCTCTTCCATGGGCACCAAATGGACGCTCCCGTCTCCGGGCTTGAGGAGGGCGTCCTTTTCCAAATCCTCCACCGTCAGGTCCGGGAAGCTCGCCGGGGGCACCCCTAAGGCCTCCTCGCTCGGCCGCCGCCGCAAGGCATCCGCGACGGCGCTGCCGTTGTCCAGAGGAAAACCCGTCTCGTCCAAGGGACAACCGGGAGGGCCCCCGTTGAGGTTGTTGAGGTTCAGCTCGTCCTCCAGTTGCTCCGTACGGTAGTCCCTCGGCGCAATCTCCCGCTGGATCGCCTTGTCCGGGTTGCAGAGATTCCCCAGGGCGCCGGGGCTGGAATGGCACAGGTGCTCTTTCGGGGTGCTGGTGGGGAGCCCTGGAGACCCCGACAGGGGGTGGCAGTGGGAGGCCTTGTTCCCCGAGATCCGGTCTGCCGAGGTGGTGATCTCCTTCTTGCTCACCTCCATCCCGGACTTTCCCATGGGCTCGTGGTGGTCCGAGAGATCGCTGTCGGAGTGCGAGCGCCAGAGCTTGTTGTGACGCTGCTTGCTGCGGGGAAAGAGAAGGCGGAAGGAGGGGTTTCAGCCGGAGCTTTGAAACTGGCATGGTGCTAAATAGGATGGCGTGGGGACGGTGAAAGACAAAAAGGGTGTGGGGGTGGGCAGAAATCATGGATGGAGCCGCAGCCATGGGTGGGACAGGCCTGACCCCAAACTAACGGCGGTTTCTCCTGCCCCATCACAGAGCTATCAGGGTTCTCACCCGGGGGAAGTGGAATTCTGCAACCTGCCTATATTTATTCTGCGTTTATTTATTCTGCAACGGCGGAGCTTGCCCATGGTGGTGCTGTGTCAGGGGAGCCAGTGAACCCTCCCCACCCTGCTGGCCAAGGACAGGAGAGGAAGGATCCAGGGTGGGGAGGGGGAACCTCCAGTCCCAGCAACGGTCTATGGAAAGGGATTATGGGAGTTGTAGTCCAACACCCCTAGAAGGCCAACTGTTTCCCACCCATTTTGAGAATGGATGAATTATCTCTTTATTTTCCACAGCATAAAGCAACTGGATCCCGTTTTGTTTATTCTGTGCGATGCGATTTCCTTTCGGCGGTAAATAACGACCAGGAGAAGTAGGGAAACAAATGTTGGCCAAGCTTTCCTGGAGGGGAGGAACGCAAGGAGTCACAATCCTGTCACACCAACTCCCTGGAGATCTAAATATAGCCCTGCAGCTCGGGGCACGGGGGGGGGGGAGAGAAATTTGTTTTCGCCACCCAAAGGGCCCTCCCGGCTGCAATGCGGCAAGTCACACGCTTTTGTCTCAGGCCAGCTGCTGCTCTCCTCCACTGGGGCCACCTGTCCACCGCGTGGCCTCCACCCAGTGCCCATAAGGGGACAAAAACAAGCAGCCAGCCCGACGAGGTTCTCCGGTGTGTGTGTGTGTGTGTGTCCCGCCTTCTCTCCTGCTCTATCCCCCTGTGACACTTCCCAACTTTCGCCCCTAGAGGGCGCGCCTGCTCCATCCGACTTCGGCCATCGGAGATCTCCTCTGGTCCCGGATTCCGATCCGAGTCACTCTCCTCCTCTCCCTCCAGGGAAGGAGGAGAAATCCTTCCCGCGCGGGACAAAACCAGAGGCCACTCAGCCGGCACCGCAGGGGAGTGCCTCAGCCACACGAGGCCCCTCAGCCTGGGATCAGCCTGGCACAAAATTTGTGGCCAGAGTTGTTCTGGGGGAGGAACGGGCTCTAGGGCAGGGAGACGCCGAGAGAGGCCTGGAAGGAAAAAACAAGAAACCGGGCCTTCTCGGCGGTGGCTCCTCGGCTGTGGAATGCCCTCCCAACAGAAATTCGGCTGGCACCCTCGCTGGGTGTTTTTAAAAGCCAGTTAAAAACTTGGTTATTCAAGAAGGCCTTCCCTCCAGTCAATTAAGTCTTTCTCTCTCTCTCTCTCTCTCTCTCTCTTTTTTTTCTATTCCATCTTGGTAATCTTCTCTTTAAATTAATTGTTTTAAATTGAAATTTGTAATTTTATGATTTTATATATTTTTATACTGTTTTGTTTTATTTTGTAAGGCGCCCCGAGTAGACACGGTCTAGAGGGGCGGGGTAAAAATCAATCAATCAAACAAACAAACAAAAAAACAAACAAATAAATCTGGGGGGAACGGAAGTTTACTTTTCTACACCTTGGCCAGCCGAGCCAGGGCGGCCGCCCCAAGCGGTCCTGGTGGTTACACAACCCGCCTCCTCGGCCTTTTCAATTCGCTGCCCCCCCCCTGTGGGTTCAACCCCAGAGCGAAGGCCAGTGTTTTCGTTGCCTGCGATCCTCTGTGCATATTTTCAATGAGGCATATTTTCATCAGCCTGGAAACCGATTCTCTTAACAACACAGACACACAACTTCACACACAAATCTGGCTTTACGGTTGCTCACAGAGGTGTTATTTCTAGAGGGCTAACTCAAGATGCACCACAACCGGGATATCGGAGACAAACTCTGTTCGCTCGCGGAGACAATAGAAGAACAAAAGGCAGGCATGCTCCTCCACAAGAGCAAAAAAAATGATAATATCAAAGCCCACAGGGGACTCTGCATTTCCTTAGGACCCAGTCGAGTTCGCCAAGTGCGCAAGCTTCCAAGCTATCCAGAACTGTTCATCGAGCCGGCCAGGGTTGCAGGAACTGAATCTGGGGGTCAGGGGAGGCAGAATTGAAATGCCTCGGGGACTGAGCGAGCGGGTCAGCGGGTTATGGGTATTGGGAAGCTGAGAACTTGAGGGAAATTAATTTTTCCCCCTTCCAGAAAACCTTACAGAGAGAGCACGGAGTCTGGAAAAGTAACTTTTCTGAAATTAGCAGGACCGGGGAGGCAGCCGACGGCTTCCCACTCCCCCCCCCCACCTCTGCAGAAGCGCAACCCGATCAGCAAGGAACCTCGGTCCCCTTCAGCTGGCCCTGAAACTCAAACAGGAAAATCCTATGAATGCGAATCAGCCCATTTCATCGGCCCGAGAGCAGCCAGAGGGTAAACCAAGCTGCCAGGAGAGAGAGAGCGAGAGAGAGAGCGCTAAGCCACACAACAGGAAGATGCAGGGAGAGAAGAGCAAAATCAAACCAGGTGCCGGAAAAACACGGCCCCGGCCTCTCCCTTTTATGCCCAGGAGCCACTTCCGTGTTGGAACACGGCCGCGGCCACAACACAAACCATTCCTATCCTTATTTCTTTTGCCTCTTTCGAAGATGCCTTTCACGTGGAATTTCTTTCGACACCTTTTTCTTAAAAAGACTGGGACACGACAAAACTTCTCGCAACCACCCTCTCCTGCAAATAGGACTGTTTTTAAAACCAGACGCTAGTCAGAGGAGGAAAGACACCTTCCAGCCACGGGCAAGCAAAAGGCATGGGGGGGGGGAAAATTCAGCAGTGGGGGGGCAGGCCAGGGGAAGGCCAGGCTTGTGACAAACCCAGACCTACTGGGATCTGTCACACAGTTACACTAAGCTGCCACCAACCATTCCCTATAATAAGTCACACAGACCAGGGATGGATTTTTAAACAATAAAAGAATAAGGTTTATTTTAAATACAAACTGGGTAAATAAAACAATCAGGTGAATAAAATAAAGTAACGTGGCTTATTCTCACACACACAAGCATACAGTTTGGTTCACCTAGAACCTTTAACTTAAAGCACAGACCCTGAACCCATCAGTTCTGGCTAACCAACAGACACCTGAACCTTTCAGGTTGGTACTCTGACACACAGTAGTACCCTGTCAGACACACAGACTCCCACAACAGCTTCTTCTTCCCCAGCTGCTGCTTCGTCCCAACCCAGTGTCTCACAGTCTGTCTCAGCATCTCCTCTTCACCACACAGGCATCACATATTTATACAGTACAGCCCCTCCTCCTGATGTCCCGCCTTCCACTCCCCATAGGATGGAACTTTCCCTCCAAACCCATGACAGACAGGTAACATCAGTGCTGTTATGTAACACCTCCCCTCTTTAAAAGTTGTTTTGTAGGGGGAAAGCTAAAAGTGCTTTTCACCAAAAAAACAACCTGCATAAAATACACAACAACATTTATACATACCATATAATACTTACATATACTTACACTCCAAGTTAAACATAGCAAATAGGCATTTCAAACATTTACCATATGCATTACATCAATTTTACCTTTATTAATACAAACCAATTTAAAACCAGGTACATTTTAACTTTTTGTCTTCATTATATACATATAGTCCATGTTCTTTCGCCGTCTTCAGTCTTCAGGTCTTCTTGATAAGGCGTCAGCAACACAGTTCACTGACCCTCTGACCACCTTCACTTCAAAGTCATAGTCCTGTAAGTTCAAAGCCCACCTCATAAGTTTGCTATTGTGGGTTTTCATCGTCTTTAACCATTGCAATGGTGAATGGTCAGTACACAGAATAAAATGTCTTCCCCAGATGTAAGGCTTGGCCTTCTGGGAAATGAAGGGAAAACACAAACACCCACATGGCGTAACAGGGAGACATGCGATCTTCCCCTCAAAGCAGATGATGGGGATCTCACGTTACGAAAACCCGGGCGACGGGGCAACTCCAAACTCACCCACCCACACTCAACAAAACAGGAGAACCAGCGAACGGGCGAGCAAGCAGGGCGGTTCAGAGGGCGCCTCGCCCCCTCCCTCTGCCCAGCCGAGAAATCTTTTCCTGGAAGGGCCACCCTCGCTTCCCGCTTCCCTGCCTCAATCCAACCTGATGCCCTCGGGAGGCCTTCGACTACAAACCCCATCCTCCCTGGCCAACAACAGGCATCTTGACCCAACATGTGAGGGTGCTTGGTTGGGATGATGATGATGATGATGATGATGATGATAGTATTATTATTATTATTATTATTATTATTATTATTATTATTATCATCATCATCATCATCATCATCATCATCATCATCATCATTGCTGCACCGGGTCAACTGACCTGGCGAGGAGGATGCCCTGGTACTCCTCCAGTTGCCGCATGAAGCTGGGGTTGGGCTTGGTGACGGTGCGGCGCTTCTTCACGTGGTCGTAGGCCCGGTCGAGGTTCCAGCCGTACTCCTTCATGGCGTAGGCGATCACCGTGGAGGCCGACCGGCTGACCCCCATCTTGCAGTGGACCAGGCACTTTGACCCGTTCTTCCTGGATGGAGAACCAGAGAGCAAGGGGAGGGGGGGGTCAGGAAAAGAGGAAGGGAGATGCAGGTGGACCGATGGAGAACGGAAGGGGCCGGGGAGGATCTACCAGGGTGTGGGTGGTGGGTGGGGGTCTCCTTCTTCATAATGCTAATAAATGTTACACACAGGGGGCAGAAACCTTCGAACGAGGGTGTCGTGGGGAAGGAGGTGGATTGGGCCCTCCAGGGGCTGTGGTTTCCCCACCCTTACACAGGGAGCTGCCACGTCTAACTCTTTACAACCACGTGAAGCCTATGAGATAAACGTCACTCATGTAGGGAAGGGCAGGATTCAAGCCCATTCTTCTCGGCTGGGAAAAAAGACAAGGATAGAAATCGAAACAAATAATAAAGGATACAATCAATTATGTAGCGGAGGGTTTTGTCCCACAAAAAAACCCTACTTTTCTTCCTTCTTTCCTTCTTCCCTCCCTTCTCTTTCATAGTGGAAAATGAGTTAAGAGGACAGGATAAAACAAAGCACTCTCTAATCACGTACGGGTCAGGGTTAACTCTTGGGGTCCCTGCTCCCCCAGGGAGCGCTGAATACCGGGAATGCCAGGGGAAAACCCCAATTCCTTGGAATCATCCTTTGCTCTGAACCAGTGTGTGTGTGTGTGGGGGGGGGGGTAGAGAACCAATGACTTCCCTTGATCAAAATCAAGGCAGTGGGAAAAGAAGCAGGAGATTGCTCGCTGACACCCCCTGATTCAGGGGAATTTCTCACTTCCCAGCTTGAGTATGATTCACACTGGGAAGGCTTTCCCTGACGGGTGCTTAGAAGCCAAGCAGGGACAGGAAAGACTCTTCAGCCTGGGCTAAAAATTCCCAGAAGTTCCCAGCTGGTGTGTTGAACTCTGGGAGATGTAACTCAGAAGCCTTTCCGGCTCAGCCGGCTGTTCAGATACACCGGGATTGTTAGAACCTCATCCAAAGGCCGACGAAAGGCAGACCGGGGGAAGGGGGGGCGGGGACGGGACGGGACACGTTTTATTGCGTTTTCAAAAGGAACTTGCTTTGCTTTGGAGATGAATTTGTAGGTGTCGTTCCAGTAAGCCAGCAGATCGGTCGCCTCTTCGTCGTAGACCCGGATGTTGTGGTATTCAAAAACTCCAGGGAAGAAGTTGTCGATCTCCCGGGTGACGTTCAAAATATAGCGGACACTGCGTGGAAAGGGGAAGAGAAACGTGTAAAGACCGGGCCAAGTTTTCGGAAAAAACATACCTGTTTTAGAAACACCACCACCACCACCACCACACCCCGTCCCCCGTATGCACAAAGCATCTCTCTTTTGGGCCTTACGTCTTACCCGCGATTCTGCAGGTCTTCCAGATTGGAGGCGTTCCACTCCGAACCCTGCACGAGAGAGGAGCACACAGCAAGACGCTTAGCGAAGAGGAAGAAGAAAGGGGAGAGCGAGGAAAACGCTTCTCTGTTTGTTTGGAAACAGAAAAGGTGGTGCAAAGCCGAAGCCGCACATCATGTCCCTAGGAGTGGTTGAGATGCAAGGAGAGCAGTGAGTGAGAGAGAGAGAGAGAGAGAGAGAGAGAGAGAGCTGGGCAGATTGAGCCAAAGAGGTCCCCTCTGCTTTGCCTAACCAGCAGGGCCTCAGGGTGAGCCCTCTTCCCACGCCAACGCACCGAGAGAGGGCACGGCATGCCCCTGGGGCTCATGGAGAAAGCCCCAGAGTTGCTGCTGACTCATTGGCAGGCGTGGCGTCACCAAGACGTGCCCTGGCACTGGGAGAGAGGAAGATTTCAAGAGCCCGGTGTTGACGTGGCTTGGCTCTTCTTTGGCTTCTCTTCAATCCCTGGCGCGAGGGTGGGACTTGGAACTAAGGCGCTGAGAGGGAACGCATTACTGGGGACCCATCCCTTCTGGTCTCCCTGCCCTTCCCCGTCTGTGAGTAACCAAAAAAGGCCCAAAAGATGCGGTTTTCCTTGAAACGAGGAAGCGGACCCCTCTCGGCGCTCAGCAAGACAGCCTGACGGCTACCTTCCCACACCTGAAAACTGACCTTTGAAAAACAGAACCGTCAATGCTGCCTTACAGGGGGAGAAGACTCAGAACCGGTTTCCCCTTCCCTTCTTCTGGGGGTGGTGGTGCCCTGGGGCTCTGCAGCTGGCCCAAGGCCACCCAGGCTGGCTGCACTCCCGGTGGGGAATCGAACCCCCAGCCACTGGCTCCACAGCCAGAATATGCCTAAACCACTGAGTTCTCCAGCCAGCGGGCCTTTTCTGGCTCCTCCGACTCATTGTTTCTTTCATCTACATATTCCTGTCATTTATCTCTATTTTCTCTCCTGATAAAAGGACTGAAGGCGGCAGGCACCATGTTTAAAAGACAAGTGCGAGGAGGGAGGGAGGCTCGGAAGGGGAGTGGCCGTCCTCTGGACAGCTCGGAGACGAACTGTGCGGTGCTTTGAAAGGTCCAAACCAACGCTTCTGATTAGGCCAGTTCTGTAAGAGAGGAGTCACACAGCCGGTGGCTCCAACTTCACTCCAAGTTTTAGTTCTAAGTATATCTGGGGGAGAAACACCAGCATCTTAGAATTCACACCCAAACCAGCCACATCTCCTCCCCCCCCCTTTGCAAAACTGGGGTCACGAGGATCTCAGGCCAAATCCTTGCTGTGCTTTGCAAGGCTCGCTCTCCAGACCTCGCAAAGAAAAGATGGTGAAGCTTTCAAAATGTAACTTGGATGTGAGATTTAAGCCACAAGCAGAGCAGCGGGAGATGCCTTGGCTGGCGGCCCTTCGCCCCGGCCCCTGCGTTGGGGGCTTACCAGGAAGACGTGCTCGAAGATCTGGGTGGGGCTGTCCATCTGTCCCAGGATGACGATCATCTCGTTGTCAATGAATTCCTTGAACTCCCGCAGGTTGCAAGCCATCTGCATCTCCAGCTCCGTTCGGATCTGGGGTCGGGGAAAAGGGAGAGGAAAGAGGCTGCCTTGAACTGGCGATGCACATCTCTCAGCAAATGACCGCCTCCCCAGACCCTTGCGCTTCTGGAAAGTCCAACTTTTCAAAAAAAAAAAGTTGTCAATTTTTTATTAAAATTTTTATAAAAGATTTTGTAAAAGTTTTTTGATAAACTTAACAATCTTTTATAAAAACTTTAATCAAAAATTAAAGTTTTTGATAAATTTTTAGTAATTTAATAAAAGATCTTATAATAATTTTTTTTATTAAACAGTTTTCGCCTCCAAATATGCTGGGAACATAGTAATTTTAAGGCTTCATAAGCTCAGAATTGAGAGGGCAGCCAGACCAAAGATGGAAGCGCCGGGGCAGCTGTGACTGGACGGCAGGCAGTAGTTCCACCTATCCACCGCTCTGTGTCCTTGGGCGACCTCTTCCAGACACCCCCACTGGCCAGGCTGCCCGAGCCATTCCGAGAACGGCCGTCCACAAACACAGAGATGCTCATCCCGAATTCTGTACCGTTCCTCGCCCCCGGATAGGATCAACCCGGCTGATGGAGATCACAGATCAGGGTGGGAGGGCCAGAGGGGAGAGAGAGAGAGAGAGAGAGATATGCTGGGAACATAGTAATTTTAAGGCTTCAGAAGCTCAGAATTGAGAGGGCAGCCGGACCAAAGATGGAAGCGCCGGGGCAGCTGTGACTGGACGGCAGTCGTTCCACCTATCCGCCGCTCTGTGTCCTTGGGCGACCTCTCCGAGACACCCCCACTGGCCAGGCTGCCCGAGCCATTCCGAGAACGGCCGTCCACAAACACAGAGATGCTCATCCCGAATTCTGTACCGTTCCTCGCCCCCGGATAGGATCAACCCGGCTGATGGAGATCACAGATCAGGGTGGGAGGGCCAGAGGGGAGAGAGAGAGAGAGAGAGAGCAGATTCTCACGGGCAGCCTCTGGCATTCTTCCCACAGGAGGTAACGGAAAAAAACCCCGAAGCTGGAACCACCTCTCTTTCTGATCCTAGACGGGAAAATCCATGCATGCAAACCATCGCTCAACATGCCCGGGGGGGGGGGGGGGACAACAAACACTAACTTCCTGGCAGCCCCGACCTGGCTTTATTTCGCTGCAGACCCTGAGTACCACCGTCCTCAGCAGAGTGGCCAAGGCGGCCACCTCGGCCAGCTCACCTCCTTCGACGTGATGTTCTCCAAGTCCTTCTGCATCATGATCTCCCGCAACTTGGTCTTGATCAAGCGTTCTGTCCGCTCGCGCTCGGTCGGGCTGCCGGCAGAGGTGGGGACCGTGGGAAGGAAGGAGAAAAGAGTTAGGGGTCAACTGTAAGGAAAGCAATAATAATGTCCCGACACCTCTTGGCCTCTCCTGTGACTGACTCAGGAGGAAGGAGAACAACCACAGCTGTAAAAGGCAGCGGGAAAGCTTGATTGGGGGGGGGGGACACACCCTCTTTTCTGATCCTAAGACCCTCGGATGCTGCACCTTCTCCTCTGCATCAACCTGGAAATGGCCAGAAGAGGCTCAGCTTAGGAGCAGGCCTCTCCTCCTGGGTTTCCTGCCCGGCTGCTACACCGGGTCCAGCCTTCTGGACTTAACGGAGGCCTTTTTCGCTTCCCCAAAAGTCGGGCAAAAATGTCACAAAACCAAGGAACGAATCGATCAACCCGATCAAGCCCTTCTCTTCACCGCATCCGGAGTCCCGAGGCATCGAGCGAACCCTTCTGTCCAGCTGCTGTCTGGGGTGGGATCGGATGGGGGCCATGGGATTTGTAGTACGGTGTCAATGGACAGCAGCCAGTTGGAGGAAGGGTGGCAGGCGGCCGGCCTCCAGCTGTGCAAGGGTCGAAGGGCCTGCCCCACACTCCCATCTGCTTGACCGGGCCATTCAACACCTCCCCATCAGTCACAGAGTGTGTATCAAAAGGCACAAGGAAAAGTGTGGAACTCAAAGAGCTGTGCCGGGTGGGCTTTGAGACCCCCACGCGACCTTTGTAACTGTGCTTGCTGGTGACGTTCCTTCTCTCCAACAACCACCCTGCGAGGGAGGCCCAGCAAACTTCATCCTCATGGGGAGATTGTTGTGCCTGGTGACCCCATCAAACCACTCGCCACACGGCCTGTCTGTCTGTCTGTCTGTCTGTCTGCCCTCTCTTAGGGTCCTCTCCCACCCACCCCCCGTTTCCTGGCCCTGCACAGACTCTTGATGGCAGGCAAGCAGGGAAATCTGCCACAGCCGGGCCAGCCAACCGCCTCAGCCTACCTTTCTTGGAAAGGTAAATCGCTCCCAGGCTCCTTATATGGAGATGCAGAGACACGGCTCACACCCGAGGCCGCATTCCAGCCGCCGGCTCTTAGGGTCCTCTCCCACCCACCCCCCGTTTCCTGGCCCTGCACAGACTCTTGATGGCAGGCAAGCAGGGAAATCTGCCACAGCCGGGCCAGCCAACCGCCTCAGCCTACCTTTCTTGGAAAGGTAAATCGCTCCCAGGCTCCTTATATGGAGATGCAGAGACACGGCTCACACCCGAGGCCGCATTCCAGCCGCCGGCTGGACTTATCGGCCGCTGTAAAAATAGCTCAGGATAATCAGCGAGAAGGGTGGCACTAAGCTGCCATCTTGGTCACTGGGTCTGTTACCTTCTCTCTCTCTTTCCCTCTCTCTCTCTCTCATGCGTGCGCGCACACGCAGTGCCACACAAACCACTGCTGTGCAACCCAAAAACGTCCTGGCTCAACCAGACCCACATGGACCCGGAGGCCTTAGAGACTCGGCTTTCGGGAACCCTCTAGCAGGAGGTGTGCTTTCAGCCCAAGGGCCAAAACTCCCCTGGAAAGGTCGGGGCACGCTCCGGGGGGGGCGCCCAAGGCCAAAGGGTGGGAGTGAAATACAAACAGGGGGGAGAAAGAAACCAGTGTGTTCCAGCCTAACGTTCTGATGGCCATGAGGTGCATTTCCAGCGTTTAAAGGGTGGCCGTTTGGGAGAGCGCAGAGAGCGCCGGCTTCGGCCTGCCAGAGGCCGGGCTCAGCTCCCTGAGAGTGAAGTTCTCCATCCGTCTCCTAGAGCTCACGGGAGGCAACCCCGCCCTAGGCGGCTTCGCTCATAGGCCGTCGGAACGAAGAGAGCCGCTCGCCCGCCCGACCGCCCGCCCGACCGCCCGGAGGGACTCACACGTCGGTGAAGAGGGCGGGAGAGTCTGGCCGGTGGGACTGGACATCCTGCATGGCATTCCATTCGTTGACCGAGGACTGGTCCGAGTTGATGTGGCTCTCGTAGTAGCTGACCCAGGTGAGGAAGAGGCTGCCCGGGTAGTAGTTGTGGATCCGCGCCACCTCGCACGCCTTGTGGAGGCTCTGCAAGGCAGACCTGAGCGCCGGGGCAGGGAGGAAAAGAGAGAGGTGACTCGGATCAGGGCCTCCCTTTCCTCCACAGAGTTTCAATACGCCCGGCGTCTCCCCCTCTCTTCTTCATGACAACCACTCCCCCTGCAGAGCGGGGCAGGCCAAAACAACAGGATGCTCATGCACACAGTCACCGTCTCTTCGCCCTGGACCCACCTCGGTCCTTGGCTGGTTTGTGGCAGGCAAGCAAAAGTCAGGCCCGGCGAGTCCCCGGATGGGAGACCGCCAGGAGAATCAAGAATTTTCAGGTATGGCTAGGGAGAGATCGCCAAACTCATGGAGGCGCGTCGTGGGTCATCATTCTCAGCTAGCGGGATGAAGCGCCTGCAACTCCCTCCGCCCCTTAAGGGGCTTGTGCCTTGGGAGTTGAGGCCAGGGCACTGTGAGCTTCCTCTTTCACCCACTGTCCTGACTGCACCAGCTGAACTTTTTAAAAACACGGGGCAACATGCAAATAATTTTGCTATTAAAAGATTTCCTTGTAAGCCTCTGAAGGAAGCCCTCCAGAGCCGTCCTGGACTTCTCCGGAACTCGGTTTTTAGAAACCAAGGCATGACCTCCACAGCAAACAGAAAACTCGTCACTGATCTCCTCCTTTCTGCTTGTAAACAACGCTCCCTGGGAAACCGAAAATAATTCACACCCCTCTCAGCCACCTGATGGGTTGAAGGCCGTCCAGGAAGGAAGGTGCCCCTTGCTGGAATGTTTCGAGACACTTTCTAAGAAGAGAGAGGAAAAGCGGCCGGGCGGAGGGGAACAGAAGGCCTTCTCTCTCTCTCTCTCTCTCTCTCTCTCTCTCTTTCTCTCTCTCTCTCTCTCTCTCNAACTGGAGTTCTAACTTTGGCCATGACCTCGGGAATACAGGTTAGAAAGAAACGGAGAGACAGGGAGATGAAAGCCCACCAGTTTCAAGACCGGCAGGTGACGCATCTGGGCAGAGGGGGGAAAGGATCCTTGAGTCACCCTAAAGAAAAACCTTCGATGAGAGCAGCCCTAAAAAAAGAGAGAGGGGATCTGGGTTTGGCAGAAAAATAACCTGCAGACGACACCACCCGCAGATATACATATTTATATCTTTCCTTTAACAGGGGCTGCTGTCCTCCGAGGTTTCTCTTTGGGGATGAGAGTCAAGGAGGTATAGCTAGATATAGGGAGAAGCATCTTCTGCTCTTAGGAGAGGTGAGGAGGGAGAAATACCAAGGATCAGGCACCCCATTCCCCCCCCGCCACGGAGAAAAGGCTGCTTCTCTCTTATTCTTGCAGACTCGAGGGACTAGACCAGCACGAACCGGGACAACAGAGACGACCTTAAGGGCAGGGGGCAGGCCTGTACGGGTGTAAGACCACCCTCTCCCCCACCCTCTGGGGCCCCTTCAAACAGGTTGCAACACAACCCTCACCACCGCCGGGCAGGGGACGATCAGGGCTGGGTGGCAACCCACCCGAGTATGCCCGGGAGGGAAAGCTTGGCGCAGACGTCCGTCGAACGGCGACAGGCTTCCCAGGAGAGACTGTCCGCAGACCAGCCCTTTCGATGGGACGACAACCTTCCTCATTTCTAAGTTACAGGGACAATTCTGCACCCCCAACTACCACACCTCTGAGGAGACCTCCTGAAAACATCTCCCTCAAGGACCTTGACCTCCAGAGAAATCTGTGTGGGAGAAAATGGCCTCTGGGCACGGTGAAATGAGACCTCCATGTCCAAGAGCAGTATACCTTCAAAAAACCAGATATGACTGGTATGCACAGAAAGGGAAGGTCCGTCACCCTGCCTGTGAGGCTCACGGATGTGCCTGGGTGCAAGGCAGGACACCAGACCGGAGAGACGGGGGGTCTGATCCACAGAGACGATTTTAGTTCTTTTTTTAAAAAGGAGGAAAAACATGAAATAACGGGGAGAAGCGGGCACTGTCTTACCACATTGCCTGCACGGAGACTGGCTTAAAGATATGTATCCTGTTGTCGGTGGAGACGCTGAAGCCCCTGGAAGGCGAGAGAAAGAGCAGACGGGCTCGTGAGAAGGAGGATGAAGTTCAGCGAGAAACACATTTTGCAAAATGGCAACTCAAAAGGGATGGGGGCCGAGGTCGGAAACAGGATTTCCTGGGCCCCCGATAATAACTCACGCAAGACGCGGCTGCCCCACAGCCAGTCCCTCCCTGAAAGAGGGATAAAGGAGAGGGATTTGGCTCAACACACCCCCTCCCTCTGTCCCCGGGAGAGGTGTCCGGCTTCATTGGGTCTTGGCTCTGAGTTCATGGGTGATCCCTGGGGAAGGGGCGGGGGGTGCGAAGGGGCCCCGGGGGAGGCGGCCTGACCCAGAAGCAGCGCTTACCCATCGCCATCCAGGTGAATGAGCGCATCGCTCCAGAGGGGTAAAACCAGACCCATCGTGCAGACGCTACTGGAAAGACAAGAAAGGGGAGGGGACGGTCACCATCCTCTGTTGGGTTTCATGGGGCTGCACTCCTCTACCGGGGGGGCACTAAAAAGAGCCCCCATGGACCTGATCCGCCACCCACCATAAAGGGCGGGTGGGGTGAGAGGTGGTGGATCCAGAGGGCCACCAAAGGAGAGGTCCCAAGTCTCTCTCTTCACGACAGCCTGACAGCCGGGAAAAAAGTTCATTTCCTGGACGACAGCCCCCTGAATCCTGACGCTGGAGACCGGATCCTGCGAGAGAGGACTCGGGAGCTGTACCCTTCTTTAAAAAGTAACTTTGCCAAGGAGGCTGCTAGCAAGAGATTTGGGCGATCGGGATCCTAAAGCCCACAGTCATGAAACTCGTGGAGGGACTCTGGAGCCCATGCTCCTCTCGCTCTCCTCGCAGGGTTGCCAGGAAGGATAATGGGCGAGGGAGGGGGACGGGGAAGAGAGAGCCAAGAAAGCCACCTTGAGCCCAACACAGGATGCGTTGGCGAGAAACGAAGCCAGAAGACGAACGAATAGCCCTCCTGGCCAGTTTCTGTTGGCACTTCGCTCAGGTGGGGAAGATAAACTCTCCTAGCGTGGAGGGTTGCTGGAGGTTTTTGGGCTCTTCGGCCGTGTATTCTGAAGGTTGTTCAACCTCCAGAACACAGCCAAGGAGCCCGAAAAACCCACAACAACCGTCCGATCCCGGCTGCGAAAGCCTTCGAGAATACACCTCCCAGCATTGCTGGACTATGAGACCCATCGTCCTTGGCCAGAGCAGAGTGGTGGGCTGATGGCTGATGGCAGTGGGGGGGGGGACACCATCTTATCTAGAGGCCCGACCTCTCCCAGTCCCACTGATCTCCTTTTGTGCAACACAACAGGTACAGGGGGTTGTACAATTCTCTCTCTGCGTTCCACCTAGTTCTGCCTGGCGCATGAATGAGCTCATGGAAAAAATACTGTGTGTGGGGGGTGGGCGCCGCAACGCCAAAGGGCCTCCCAAGAGACCCATCGGGATATTTTTAGGGCCGTCCCGCTCCTGAGCCCCCAGCAACAAGGCTAAATTGAGCCGGCAGATCCTCTGCGGGTCAGCAAGAGGGAAGGTCTGGTGTCCGATCCAGCCGGGGGGGCTTGCCTGCCGAGCCAGGCTGGCTGGCTGGGTGGGAATGCCACCGCCTTGTGCTTATGTAACAGCCCTGAATCCTCTCTTCCAGCAGCACCGGGTTCAAGCGGATCCAGCTTGAGACGCTCAAGGGCACGCTGAGAAAAACTGGGAAGGAACCGCTCGGAGGCGAGCCCATCGGGGGGACACGGCTCGGGCGGAAGGCCGGCTTCCAAAACTCTTTGAAAATAAAAAAAAATTTAAAGGAAGAAAAAGAGAGAAGGTCCAGTTTTTCTCTTTTAGCTGCGTTGAGCCACTCACAGCTGGAAGTGGCGGCGGTGAAAAGCGGACGCACCTGTCGTTGGAGGAGAAATCCATGCCCAGGACGATGCTCTCCTCCGTGTCCTGCCGGCCGTTGGTCGAGACCACCACCATGTACCGGGTGCGATTCTGGTACGTGCTTTCCAACCTCACGGCCTGGGTGAGCAGAGGAGGAAAGAAGAATCAGTGGCAGAAATTTGTCCCTCTAAGTCTAAAGCACGCACGTGCCCCACATTCGACGGAAGCAAGTCTTCGTTCTATGGGACACCGGGCATGCTCGGCTCTCGCCTCCCGGAAACCCCAGCCAGCAGGACCCTCGGGGGGGGGGAAGGCTTCCAGGAGCTGTAGTCTGAGGCACCAGAGTGGAAAAGCTTCTTCTACAGCAATGGTAGAGGAGGAAAGAAGAATCAGTGGCAGAAATTTGTCCCTCTAAGTCTAAAGCACGCACGTGCCCCACATTCGACGGAAGCAAGTCTTCGTTCTATGGGACACCGGGCATGCTCGGCTCTCGCCTCCCGGAAACCCCAGCCAGCAGGACCCTCGGGGGGGGGGAAGGCTTCCAGGAGCTGTAGTCTGAGGCACCAGAGTGGAAAAGCTTCTTCTACAGCAATGGTTTCCAACCTCGGGTCTCCTGGTGTTGGTGGACTACGACTCCCAGAAATCTGGTCAGCAAAGCAATCCGCAAAAGCTTCCGGGAGTTTTAGTCCAGGAACATCTGGCAACCCAAGGCTGGGAAGGACCGGTCTGCAGGCTTGGGGACCTCCACACCTTTCATCCAATGTAGGGGGACGGGCGGAAATACAACAGGACAAGCTCTCCTCACCTAGAAAAGGGAGAGTGCCTAAGCAGTTTCTTGAACAACAAGGAATCAAAACAGTTCGGGGATGGTGGCCTGACCCAACAGGTGTCAACCCATGCCAAGGAATTAAGAGGATAAAACATAGCGTGACCCCTTTGAGACTTTGCAAACGAACTGTCCTGACCAAACTTCTGCCCTCTGGAAAAAAGAACTTAGGCTAGAAAACAGGTCTAGGCAGACTGTTTCCCTGCTGCACTTATTTTCTGCTTGCGGGGAGTCAGTCTCTGGTTGTTTGCAAAAAGGGAGCAAAATCACAACTTACCCCAGACCCTGTCTTTAAGACGGGTGGGCTTTCTGCTTGCAAGGGGTGCGTTTCCCAGGACGCAATCTGCTGGTTGCCATTGGAAGGGTTAAAAAAAACAGAGACACCAACCAAACCAAAGGGGGCTGGAGGGTCCGCCTCGGCACAACAGACGTGGGGCTTGAACCACAGCGACACCTTCGACCAGCCAGAAAAGCAACTACAGGGGTGGGTGCCTGGAGCTAAGCACCCGGCAGAATCGGTCCTTCTCGTTGGAGCACAGTCTGCCCGCCTGCTCGCAGCTGCACCAGATTCGAGAACCTACCCTCCCTCCAACTTCACCTGGAATGCAGGAGGAAACAGAAGGCCTGCCCGAGCGGGCCAGGCGTCGAAGCCGCCCAACAGAGGAGCAGGCAGAGGACGGCACCCGGTGCCCATGGCGTTCTCCCTTCCTGAGAACCACGGGCAGGGCTCCGCACGATCCTCCTCGCTCTGATGCAAAGAGCTGACTGACTCAGGGCCCAAGGAAGCTCGGCACGCCAGCCGCCCTCCTCCTGGGCCAAGGCCAAGCCAGCCTGGCAGACGTCACTGCGCTGACGCAGTGTGCCAGGAAACGGGGGGGGGGGCTGTTTCACACCGCGCCGCTCGCTTGCGGGAAGCCAAGAGGAACCTGCCCCTCGGGGACCTGGGTGGGGGGAAGTAGGGGGGCAGGGGAACAACCAAGGGCCAAGGGGCATGTGGCAGCAGGACCTCGGAGACGCTCCCCCTTGCTGGCTTCTGTACGACCCCCTCCCGCCGTCTTCTTTACTGGGACATCACTGTTCAGACACCTTACACCCCTCTAAGGAAATTCAAAATGAATGCATGTGCCCTTATGGAGAAGGGCAGGTTGGGGACAGCAGGCCGCAGCGCTCCACCTTCCTCCTCTTCCTCCTCCTTTAAGCAAATCAGCCTCCGAGGGAATGCACAGAAACACAGGAATCCGCTTTGCTCCTCCGAACTTTGGTACAGCCAGCTCTGAATGGCAGCAGCAGCAGCAGCAGGAGGTCCCCATGGTGTTGGGCAAAAGTCTTGGCTGACACCTCTTGGGTGTCTCCCCTCCAGAGTCCTGGTTAATGTCCGAATTCAGACAGGACAAGGTGCCTCCGGGGTGGCGAGGGGTCCTGCAAATATTCAGGACCCTTCTTGGGGATGGTCACAAGAGGCCCTCAGACCCTGGACTACAGGAGGAGGGAGGATTCTGACTGTTCTTGGCCATGCCACTCCCTCGCCAGCAGGGAATCCCTGAGCATCCTGGGCGACCAGCAAGTGACTCCCCTTATGGCCATGTTACTCTATGGGAGAGCTGTTCCAATACAGCTGGGCAGCTTCCAAAATCTGCACAGGCACTCTTGGGAGTGAAATGCCGTTGGTGAACGGTCAAACGGGTGGGACATACCTTGTCCTGACTGTTTGCTACTGCGCATGGAAAGAAGGGAAGCACCTCTTTTAGACCCCTGGCCCTGGTGGGGCCTTCACACCCACAGGAGGCAGCGGCTTCTGTTCACGGCAGAAGAGCCAAGGGCCGGACGCTCGGCTAGAAAGCCAGCAGACGCAAGGAAGAGGGAAAGCGGCCCATCGCGCATGGATGGCAAGGCACGTATGGACTGCTGCTCAGCGCCAGCTCTCCAGAGAGGCTTGTCTGGCCACAGGCGGGATTAGCATAATCCCATTTGCTTTTGCTAAACCCATTTGGGCAGCGATCCTTAGCAGGTTGGTTTTCACGGGAAGATCACCACCCAACACGTTTGGAGCCAGGAGAACAGTTTTGCCATGTGCTTATGGCCTTGTGCAACCCCCCCACACACACACTACTTCGGGACGAAAATGTCCAGAATCAAGCACGCACGCGCACCAGCGCTGGCCTGGTCTGTGCAGCAGCCGGGCATCAGAGGGATCTCACCCGGAGCAATACGGGAAACCGTATCATGGTGGTCGGCAGGAGACAGCAAATTTGGGCAGAAGAGTGGAGGGATCTGCGCGTTGAAGGGAGCCCAAGATTTAAAACTGTTTGCTTGCACAGCGGGTGGAAAAAAGGCAACACCATTGGGAAAGCCTAGCTCACGCTTCTAGCCTGAGGTCAAAATCAGAGGCAACGGAGTCGCCAAAAACTGGAGTTTCCAGATTGCGACAATTTAAGTTCAACCGGCAGGCCGGCCGGGCTGGTTTCCCCAACCTTTCCAGGGAAAGATTTGAAAACTTAAGCATGCCCCCAGCGTGACCCTGCTGCTGCTCGATTCACCCGGGCACAAAGGGAACCCATTGTTTGTGGCCCACATCCCCCTCAGTTCGGCCTGGGAGGAGGAGGAGGAGGAGGCTCAATTTATCCAAAATAGCTGCCTGCGGAAGCACGCGAGGAGGACCGCGATAACCACTGAGTCATGAGACGCTTCGGGAGAAGGCAGGCCAAGCAGAGCGCCTCGCCCGTGAGTCCCAGGGTTTTGCTTGCCACCTGGATTCATATCCAGAGGGCGCCCCAGACAAGAACCCCCCCCCGCGAGGGTTCCCTTAGCCAGATGATCCAATAAACCAAGAGCGCCCCCAAGAAGTCTTGGACAGAGGACTCGCGTGAGCAAGCCAAGTCACGTATGGCATCTTTGTTTTTTTTTTAGGACAAGAAGTTGTTCTGTTGCAAGCCAGGGTCCTTGATGACTGACACCCCCCTCCTCTCCTGGCGGAGAAACAAGAATCTTTTGGACGGAGTCTCTTAAAACTAAAAACTACAGCTGAGCTATGTTCAGAAGGAGTTAAACGAGTAAGAAAGAAGGGATATGAGAGAGACAGAGAAGAGGGTGTGTGCATGTGTGTGAGAGAAGGACCTACCAGTCTGATATTGTCTTCCGGGCGGAGAAGCATGAACATGGCTTGGAGATGTTGCTGGAGGTCGCCTGGAAGAGAGGAGGAGGAGGAACGCGTCACGGATCGCAGGAGGCCCCCATTGAGGAGCACATAAATACCACTGCTGTTCCTCCCAGAAGCCTGAAACGGGGCCTCCTTCCCCCACAC